GAGTTTTTTTGCAGGAGACCCAAAGCTCCTATCAAATGCACCAAGCATTGCCGGTAGACCCCGACAACAAAGCACACCCCTGTTCCCCCAAGTGAGAAACCACAACCGTAAGCCTGCATCGAAGCTTAATTGCAGGATTCCACATTCTTCATGTAAGCTGCAAGTTAAACTATGGAAGGAATGTGGTGCGGCTCCATCGGCACACGAGGCTTCGAAAAGCTTGGCCCGGGTTTTTGAAGTATTTTGGTTTCAAAACCCTTCGAGCGTTTTGAGCCTGCAATTGGCAGCCCCAGGTTTGTAATGTTATAAGACGCGGTACGTTGGGACACAGATTCAAATCTTTCCCAATAAGTTCCCTGATGATTGAAGTAAGATGCAAGTGCAATACACATCCCAACACCCTAAGCCTTACAGTTTATGTACAACTTTTGCACGACACCCGAAATGGAGAATCCTGAGCCCAAAGCTCCTTGGCCCCTAGCTGGCCTAGCTCCAATACCCTGCAACCCCAAACCCGAAACCCTCCTAAACCTTGAGCACGACAACCTAGAACCCCACTAGCAACCCTTAAAGGAGCCCGTGCAGAACCCTTACACTTGCAGGAACCCTTCAGGTTTGTCCCTGGGGCTTTCCCGGAAACTACTTTGGAGGTTGGGATTTGAATTTCTGGTCGATAGGGCGGGTGGGCTGAGGGGGGGGCGGGGGTGGTAGTAACGACATGATGCTGACGACATGCTGATGACGACATGCTGATGACGACATGATGATGACGACGTGGTTATGACGACGTGATGATGACGATATGGTGATGACGACAGGGTGGTGACGCTGGAGTCACCAAACACGATCTGAGACGTCCCAGCAAACACAGAGCGAGGGGATAGGAGCTAGCATCGCAACATTTTGGCGGCGCGCTGCATTCACAAGAACCCTGGTCTGAGCAATGTCTTATGTGCACTCAAAGTGCACAAAGCAAAATGCCGAGGCTCACTCTTTCGGACGACCTCTGTGGGAGGACGAAACAAGCCCAAGTGCCTGCACTTCATGCTAACTGCCGAGCCGCCCTAAACCCTTCACCCTCACTCTCATCCCTAAACCCTAATCCCTAAACCCTATGTTTCCTAAACCCTCCCTGCGGGTTCACTTCCAAGTGTGGTCTCCAACTATTTATATATATTTATATATTTATATATATATATATAGATATATATATATATATATATATATATATATATATATTATATCTGGTATTTTACAGCATATGCAGTTTTGGGCATTTGAATGACCTGAACATGGCACTTGCGCACGGAGCCAAGCGAACGAGACGACATGGCGAAATCACACCCTCCCCCACCCCCCAGCCCATCCCCACCCCAGAAAACAAGCAAAACGCGGCACACGCTGCTGGTGGACGCGCATGGCGCGTTCACTCTTGCGGAGTCCTTTCTATGCTGTGTTGAGAAACCCTAGGCACGCAATGCCACTACTGCGAACACCTGCAAATAGCAGCATTTCAAGCACTTTCCGTAGCATGCAGGACAAGTCCCGGCCTCAGTAAGCAGTGTAACCCCCCAAAACGTGCCATTGCAACTGAACCCGCTAGCTAAACCCTATAGTCCCTAAACGAATGCTTAAACCCTAAGCCCTAAACCCTAATCCCTAAACCCTATGTTTCCTAAGCCCTATATTCGCTAAACCCTGCACCCTAAACCTCAACCCTACTCCGAGACCCTCATCCCTCAACTCTTCACCCTAAACGCAGAAAATCGCCTTCCCGACTGGGATCTCTCGGCTGCTTGTGCAATTTGTGCAACCCTGGGACAAGAGGCGCTTGAAACAAAAAACTCTAAATCGCTTAAGCCCAAAACCCAAAACCCAAAACCCTAAACCCTAAACCCCAAAACCCTAAACCCTAAACCCCAAACCCTGAAACCCCAAACCCCTAAGCCCTAAATCCCTTAAACCTTAAACCCTAAATCCCTTAAACCCTAAACCCTAAAACAGGCCTGGGCTTCCGAGGCCGACTCCGCGCAGCTCCAGGAGGTCGGGAGTCCTCTTGGGGTTTAGGGTTTAGGGTTTTAGGGGTTTAGGGCTCCTTTAAGGGATCTATAGTGGGCTTTGAAGGATCTTAGGGTTTAGGCCTTTAGGGGTTTAGGGTTTTGAGGGATTTCGGGAGTTCAGGGTTTTGGGGTTTAGGGTCCCGGTTTCGGCATTTTTGGAGGATCTTTTGTTCAGATTTAGGGGTTTTGGAGCCTTGGCGTTGCATCAGGGTCCTTTGAGGGATTTTTGGGGGAACCCTAAACCCTCACTTTAAAAAAAAAAAAACCCTAAACCCTAAACCCTAAACCGGATTTTTGGGGGGGGACCTTTGGAGGTTTCGGATGTAGGGTGCTTGCACACATTGTACATAGTTGTCTGATTTAGGGTCCCTTTTCGGGTCCTTTACAAGGGTGCCTGCGGAACCAAACGCGGAAAAGGAGGGACCCTTAATGGGGACCCCTTCCCTATAATGGGCTACATAATGGGTATATAATAGCTATATTAAGGGTATATACCTAGGGGTCCTTATTAAGGGTCCCTGGCTTCAAGGGTTCATGCAGGGTGGTTGTCAAAATTACGGTTCCTTTTGGGTCCCTAGTATAATACGGCACCTACCAGTAGTATTTCGGGTACCCAAAAAGGGAAACCCTAAACCCTAAACCGGTCCTAATTTTGACAAGTACCCGTAAGAGGACGAAGGTTGAGGCGAACACCTCCGCCATAATGCTACCTCAAAGCCCAGAGAGAACCCAATAGCCCTTAATTCTAGGGTCCCCTAAAGGAATCTATGGGGTTCCTTTAAGGGATGTATAGGGTTAGGGGACTCCAGAACCCCTTAATTAAGGAATATACCTTAGATTATAGGGGCCTTAAAATTATGATTATAAGGTGTATATATATATATATATACATATATATATATATATATATATATATATATTCCTTAATTAAGGGGTATTGTTGGGATCTCGGGGCCTCGAACTACGAAGAGCACAAGGCACCGCAGAAGTTTGCGGGGTTCTTCGTAGGGAATGGGGGAATGGGTTATGGGGACTAATGTTGGAAATGATGGAGGGACTACTATAGGGATCCCTTCCCGCACTCCCTACCCAGCACCAGACGGAAGTTTGCGGGGTACGTATGCATGTTGAGGGTTTGAGACTGGAGTTGGGTTCAGGGCTTACCGGCTTACGTAGTGTCTCGGGTTTGTGACGCTTGTGCTTTGAGTCCCGACGGCGGGGTTGAAAAGCCAAATCTAAGCCTGCCACTGGGACGTCGTAACTCTGCAGGCAACTTTCATGGTTCAAGCCTCTGAAGAGAAGATGTTGCTTCAATGAATTCTCCAATACAGCATGCAGCACCACGGAGAACACTCACACAGGAAAGCTTTGTTTAACTCACTTGCAATGACTGCAGCAAGCCTGGGTACGTAAAGGAAGGTCCTGGCCACGTCGATTTAGTTGCCTCCTGTTGGAACTTCGTCCGTTGGAGCAGCGGAGCATCGGTCGATAACCTGAGATTCGTCGTTCGTGCCACTCAGTCTCCCACGGCAATGCTGCACATCCGGATGCTGTCAGGGGAAGAGGTGGCCAGCATACCGCTGGGCGAGCTGACCGACGTGGGGAAGTTGAAGCATCAGATTCACGGCTCTCCGACGCGATTCAGGCCTTTGTCTGAATCGTGTCGGAAAGCCGTGCACCCGATCTTCACCCCCCTCACGTCGGTCAACTCTGCCAGCTTCTTTGTGGCCATCCTTTGGATGAATCCGTCGAGCTGGACTCGCCCATGGACCTACCTATCTATAGTCTCCATTGTAGTTCCTTGTTTTGGTTTAACCAATTATATATTAAGGATCCTATAAGGTAACCCCAAAAAGGAACTACAATGGAGACTATAGGTAGGTAGAACTCGCACAGTTTGCATATTCTGCCGCTTCCCAGACGCAAGCAGACGAGCTGGTGGCTGCTGCCGGGAACGGTTCGACGATGGAGGTGCCTGCCCTTCAAGCCGAGATTGTTGTCCTTCCCAACCTTATGAAATACTAGCACAAAGAGACATATCATGCATAATCGACCATAGTAGATTGAAAATTTTATTTTAAAGTGATATGGTATGACACATAATATATTTTGCATAATCTACCATAACAGACTGAATATTTTGTTTTAAAGTGATATGGCATGGCACATAATAAAGTACGACAGCCCTCTCGACCTAGAACCCTGGAGCCCGCACTTCGGATCGACTTCCTAGGAGACCTCCAGTTGGGGCGCCTGCCAGGTTTGGGGGTTTAGGGTTTAGGGCTTCAAGGGTTTAGGTTTAGAAGTTAGGGTTTGGGGGGTTTAGGGTTTAGGGCTTCAGGGGTTTAGGTTTAGAAGTTAGGGTTTGGGGGTTTAGGGCTTCAGGGGTTTAGGCTTAGAAGTTAGGGTTCAGGGGTTTAGGTTTAGAAGTTAGGGTTTGGGGGGTTTAGGGTTTAGGGGTGAGGGGTTTAGAGTTTAGGGTTGAGGCGCTGCTGCAGTGCCCCTTACATCCGGACCTGGCCAACGCACGGGGCAGATGTCCCCTGATCGCAGCGGTTTAGGGTTTAGGGTTGGTCTGGGCAAGGCCAAAAGACAACAACAAGACAAAAACAATGCGGAGCATCTCTTCCATCGTATTATCTTGAATGGGTTTGCTTCTTGTCAATGCCACGTTGAAGTGGTTCGATTGCTGCTTGATGGGGCTGCCGGCAAGAACTTGCTGTCCTGTTGGCAGCTTCTTATCGAGGCCATGTTCAAGTTGTTCGATTGCTGCTGGGTGCAGCTGCCGATGCGAATTTGAGTAACGATGGCACCACTGCCCTGATAGCATCTTCCGTGCAAGGCCACGCTGCAGTTGTGCGATTGCTGCTCAGTCTGCCAATGCGAACTCGGCAACCAACAATGTCAACAGTGCCCTGATCACAGCTTCAGACGACGGCCATGGCGAAGTTGTTCACTACGAGTTGGGTAAGCAACGATGGCACCATGGCCCCGATCGCAGCTTCCGTGCAATGCCACATTGCAGTTGTGCGATTGTTGCTTCCTGCATCTGCCGGCGGGAACCTGGCAGAGAACGATGACGTCACTGCCTTAATAGCAGCTTCTTATTTCGACCATGTTGAAGTTGTTGGGTTGCTGCTCGATGCAGCTGCCGATGCGAAGCTGGGGTTTAACGATGACACCACTGCCCTCATAGCATCTTCAAAACTAGGCAACATTGAAGTTGTACAATTACTGCTTACTGCATCAGCCAACAGGAACTTGGCAACCAACCATGGCAACACTGTCCTGTATGCAGCTTCTGAACAAGGCCACGTCAGAGTCACTCGTCTGCTGCTTGATGCAGATGCCGAAAAGAACTTTGCAGCCAACTGATCGCAGCTTCTTCTCTAGGCCGCGTTGAAGTTGTTCGATTGCGACTCGATGCAGCTGCCGGCGCGGATTTGGGAAGTAGCGATGGCACCACTCCCCTGATGGCATCTTCCCAGCAAGCCCACATTGAAGGTGTCGGTTTGCTGCGGGCTTGCCGTGCCGACGAAAGTGAGCACATGGGTGGTCATGGCGGATGTAGTAACTGGTGACGTCCACGAAATGCACAACCCTTTGCGGCTTGCTTCCATCCTCTCCCGTGGCAAATAAACTAGCAATAATGTCTCCTCATTGTCTCTACATATTTTGCCATAAGGGAACCGTCCAAACCTTGTTCTAATTACAAACGCCTTTTTACGACCAACATCTAAGCAGAAGATTGCGCATCTTCCTGGACCTTATAAGCCCTAAACCCTCCTAAGCCCTGAGCCCCTAACCCTAAAACCTACATATATATATATATATATGTACATACACACACATAAGAAGGAGCCGAAACAGAAATCAAAAACTGAACCCTCAACCCTACGCCGAGAACCCCGGCATCCTCGTGAGCCCCAAGCTGCATCAGACAGGGTCTGTCGGTGGGCTCCCGATGTGTGCCGGCTCCATCCAAGGCACGGAGCAATGTGGGGGCCGTGACATATAGTAATCTAGTCCTTATACGGTTTAGGGTGCGCAGGGTTTTAGTCTTTGGGCATTGCTATGCACTTACAACTCCTGAGTCCTGAGCAGAATTCTATGATAACACGCCCCAACACCCTTTTCTGTTCACAAGGCCCCCGTTTGGGGCTTGCTGCGTAAGTCCTAGTCGGCGTGATCCTCGCCTTGAAGTTGACGGCTGGGGGACCTTAATTATGTGGCATCTGCCACTGCCGCGCACACACACACAAACACACACACACACACACACACGCACACATACACACATACACACATACACACATACACACACACACACACAGACACACACAGACACACACACAGACACACACACACACACACACAAACACACACACAAACACACACACGCACACACAGAGACACAGACACACACACACAGACACTACAAGCATATGTTTCCAAAGATTGAAAAACACAGGCGCTGGTGGTTGAGATTCCTAGCCACTTATTGCAGGTTGGCAGGGTGAGGTTGGGGGCCTGAACCGAGTCTACTGCATGCCTGAAACTTTAGAAGTATCGGTCGGATGATGAGGATGCTGATGATTATGATCTCTGTCGAGCGGTAGCCTCTCCCCTTGAGAAGTATCATAGCGGCCTAAATAATTACCAACACTGCTTTCAGGGCTCCTTCGCCTCTTGCTGTAAACACAGACCAGAACACACTTTGCGTAGAAAGCCTTCTGATAATATCAAAACCCTTACTGTACAGCACCCTTATGGCAACCTCTTGGGCACCTTGTGCAACTTGTTTCATATTCATGTCAGCATCTCATTTTATTCAAAGTCATGCTTTGTACAGTGATACTAGTCGTAATTTAGAAGTAGGAGCAATGATCTCAATTACCATCACAAAGCTAATGACTGCAATGGCAATATACAAAGGCCGCCCTTCCTCCGTGGCTTCGGCTTCTGCAGTCTCCGGTGCCACCGCATCTTTGGATACCATCTCTTTCAAATTCACAGGGTTTTGAGGGCCGGAGCTGCTTAGAGTTTTGAGGTGTAGGGTTTGGGGTTTTTTGGCGTGCTAAACTACGTTGCAAAGGTTGTTGGGGGTTTGGGGTGTAGGGTTTTCGGGCTTCATTTGTTTCAAGTCTTACAAACCCCCAAGCCCTTCAACCGTGTGTACCAGGGAAGCCAAGCCGAGGGCTGCAAACTGCAAAAGCCCTGAGGCTCCGCGTGCCTCTACAACCTATAGTCTCCATTGTAGTTCCTTTTTTTGGGTTTAACCAGTTATATATTAAGGATCCCATAGGGTAACCCCAAAAAAAGAAGTACAATGGAGACTATAGGAAGGCTAGGTTCCTGCGTGGTAATTACCCTTTTGCATTTTTTGTTTTTGCCTATGTAGTAGAGCAGGTAACCTTTATCCTTTTTTGGGTAGCATTGTCCCTGTATAATCCCTATATAACCAAAAAGGTTAACCGACAGTTCCCCATGAAGTAGGTTTGGCCCCCCTTCTTGAACCGACTAGTAACGAAGAAGGGTACCCTGATTATTATTAAGGGGCTACTCAGCAACCTAGAAAGGGTTCCTCTAGAGCTACTCTGAAGTCTGCAAGGACGGAGAGTTTAGGGCGTTCTTCTTGGTGTACGGTGGTTTGTCGAGGTAGTTTATGATTGCAGGAACCTTGCGCAGCCCACTAAGAGCTTCAGTGATCCGCTGTCGATCCTTCAAGAAGTGTGAAAGTTGCGTGGCCCTAAACCCTTATCTGATACCCGGTCTCAGTGCAGAGCATGACTGACATGTGAGCCTTGAAACCCTGAAACGCCTGATCAACAACTTCGGGCTTAGGGTTCAGGGTTCAAAAGTTGCTGTGAATGCCCGTCATGTTTGCACAATGATCGAAATGAGTACCACATCCGCACCATACAGGACAAATGCTTCTCTGAGTTCTAACATATCAAGTTTGTTTCTTAGGACAGTCTTGAGCATAGAGCATCACTGAACCAGCATCCAGCATCTGATCTTGGGACCCTCTACAAGTCAGTCGGGTTTGTCCCATCTCCGTGGCATCAATATCTTCGGCGCCCGGCGACGCCGGTCCTGCTGCAGCCATGGATGATGGGGATGGTGGCAGCCTCAGTCCCCCCCCCCCGCTCCCGTAAAGAAGAGACTGCATGATGATTCGTTTAGCACCCACTGGTATATACTCTTCGGGCTCTTCTCATATATTGAGCTGTTCGGATAGCCTGGGCCACCTGGGTTCAGGGTACTTAGGGGTACTTAGAAAAGTATTCTTCAATTTTGTTGGCTTTTAAAATCCGTACGAAAAAACCAAAATCTTAGTTTTAGCTAAGGGTCTAAGTTCAGTATAGAGTATAGGGCCTTTGAAGGGTTTAGGGTTGGTCTAAGTTCAGTATAGGGTAGAGGAGGTCGTATACAGCGAACAGGCGGTCCGGACTTGAGGCCAGCCTCTCGCAACGTCGGCAAGCAAGAAAAGCAGTACTTAAAGGATTAGTAACTAGGGTTATAATTGGGGTAGCTATACTTAGAACTACTTATAACCCAAATTAAGGTACTCATAACCTTACTTACTAAGTCCCATGATCCTTTAAGTAGTGGGGCCTTAACAACAGATGGAGCAGGGCTGTTGGGGACTGTTGGGATATATTACATATTGGCCCGCAGTTCATGACTTGGGCACGCCACATGGGCCGTTCTTCCACTGCCGGTAAGCCTGAACACATCTCCAAACAGGAAAGCCAAGCACTGATCTGCGCCCCGGGACGACATCATACAGAGAATTGAGCCAGTAAGGATACCGCTGCATGGTCCGTATATAACCAGTACGTAGTACTAGAACGCGCCCCTCAAACACTCTAGCAGCCTGAAGGAAGCCCAATAACACTGAATCAACGGAACAAGGTTTGCAGATTTTCCGGGGTTTGCTAGGTTTCAGGGTTTTTTAGGTCTACACGGTTTTGCGGAGGTGTTGGGATTTGTGGCTTCGGGTGTCTCGCACGACAAGAAACATCGAGGACTTGTGTGACCAATCATTGTTGATGCGATGTTGCCGCGAATTTCGTTTGCACCCCCGATCGAGGCATGGACGCGCTCTTCAACAGCTTCATGAATGAGGTCTCCAACATCAAGACCACGAAGATGAAAAAGTAGTGAACTGAGACTGCTCACTTCTATAGCGTTCCCGTCTCTGGGCCTAGATCCTGGGGGTGTTTAGGGAGAGCTGTCTTTGCCTGCTCCTGCGGGCTCATGATTACTTGTTTGCACAGGGTCTTGACATCCGCGAGTAGTGGATTCACTGGTGTAAGATGTTGCGTACTGTAGAAGCCTAAATAATTACCAATATTATGGTTAGGGTTCCTTATTATAATTATAGTATCAGGGGCCCCAAAACCCTATTCTAATTATTAAGGCCCCTACATTATTGCATCATGTGACGGTGCAGGGTTTGAGTTGAAACGACAGGCATCGGGGAAGGCCAGGTTCAGAACAGATGCGATGAAGGCCAAACTCCCTCTTTAATGCGGGGTTAGTGTTTAAGATGCCCGCAGCTCAAAGTATCTCCACCTCAAAGTCTCGTCATGTTATGAGCCTACAGCTTCTTGCAAACCCGCCACCACCTTTACCCAAACTGTCCATGCAATCCTTGCATCTTCGCACCGTCGAATTATGCCCCTCCGAATCTGTCTAAGCCGCCAGCCCAGCAAAGAACCTAAAGCTCATAGAGCAATACTCCCCCCCACACACCCAAAGCGCCCACACCAAGATCCCCCGCGCTCCTCGCACAGCCCAACTTGCGCCGTGAACTAGGAAGACCACCTTGAAGATTCGGAAGGACCCAATGATGCGACTTGAGGTATGTTTCCACATTTTGCCTCTTTTCTTGCTTGTTCTGAATAATGAATAAATTACGAACAAAAAGACAAGAGACACCCCACAACTACACTGTCCAATGCCAAGAGACCTAAACCCAAAGCGATGCGCATCAGAGCCCCCAATACCACTGAACCCCCAATCCTAAACCCTGAACCCCGACACCCCAAAGCCCGGAACCAAGTCCCCCAATCCTCCTAAAAAACTCACCTAAACCTTAAACCCCTACCTAACCCCTAAACCCTAGCTCCCAACCCCTAAACCCGAAACTACACCAAACCCGAAACTCTTAACTCGAAACCATAACCTTCTTGTACACCCCAAACCCCAACCTCCCCCCTCCCCCCCCAACATAAAGGCCCCGACCTAACCCCTAAACCCTAAACCCCTGTATGCACCCCAAAACCCCCAAACACCCCCCCCCCCCACGCCCCTCAAGCCCCCCAAGCCACCCAAGCCCCCCCCTAAACCATAAACCCTCAACCCTAAACCCCGAACATACACCCCAAACCTTGTATTTAAGTTGCCATAGTGGGGATATATAGTAAACAATAGGGTTCCTTCTTATAGCAATTTCAAATTATGTTCCTTAACAGCAACCCACCCCCCCAAGCCCCCCAAGAAACCCCAAAGCAAGAGCTCCCAGGATCGAAGGCTCGGCGGGCACCCCGGAAGAGCTCGGGATCCCAGCGGGTACTCGCAGTTTCTGGCCTCTTATAAATACTCAGGGATACTTAGAAATATTTTGTAGTTTTTTGATATTATCATCCCTAGGAAACAGCTAAAATTACAATTTTGCGTATAGATTAGAATAGGATTCCTTCAAAAAGTTCCTTTCAAAAGGGGTCTATATTCCTTAGATAGCATACGGGGGAGCTTTTAACTTTTTGGCCTTATATATTAACTCTATGAAAGTTTGAACTTTTTGGGGCCCGGTTGCTGAAGAAGAGAGTTTCTTAGTAGCTAAAGCGCACAATTATAGGGCTCCTACAAAGGATTCCTTTAACAGGGTCTATAAGGGATCTTTAGTAGGGTTCTATGATTAGCTGAGTAGGTAACCTTTTTAGGGTTCAGGGTATTAAAATCCCAGCAGTACCTACAGTTTTTGGGTTCTTCTTCAGCGGGCTTAGGGTTCAGGATTTGGTGATACTATTTTGGGGGGGTCCTTATTATAACTGTAGTGTAATGGGGTTCAAAACCCTATTCCGGCCATTAAGTCCCCTGTAATAACCAGTTTTCTGGAATCCTATATAAGTTTATAGAGTTAGGGGTTCAGGGGTTTAGTTTCTTAGTATCTGAAACCCTAGGGTTTGGGTTTAGGGTTTAGGGGCGTAAGTGACTTTGACAGGGTTTGGGCGTATATTCTACTGTATTCAGTTTCTTAGAGTAGGTAAGGATTCCTTTGAGGGCTCTTTTGAGGGATCTATGGAGTTCTATACGGCTTATGGGTGTTTAGGGTCTACTTGATCCCGCAGTACTCGAGAGGCCCTTCATAATTACCCAGCCTTTTTTTTGGGGGGTGTCCTTTAAAGGGTTCCTTTAAAAGAGGCCTAGGCATGAGTAGGGTTTTATGGTATAGGGGCCTAAAAAACTACCTATACTATTTTGGGGGGGTTCCGTATTATGATTATGGTGTGTTGTCTGGGTTCTTGTCAAGGGTTCTACTTTAAGCTACCATCATAGGGATCCATAGGAACTAGTTTGGTGTCTACTTTTTTTAAATTTCTTACCAAGAACCCAAGGTTTTCGGGAATCCTAAGTTCATGGGGTTCCGTAGGAACTCGATAGAAACCCTAAGCCCTAAACCATAAAAGAAACCCTCAACCCCGACTGTACTTCGGGTCCTTGATACATATCCCGACGGCTTCGAGTCGGCTTCTGAACCAGTTTTCGACATCGGCCAGCAGAATGACATTGCTTCATTGTCCTTACAAAAGCTAGACTCTACCAAGCTGTGCACTTATGGCACAAAACCGCACGCTCAGGAATGTGTCAAAAGGGGAAAAGGAGGGACCCTTAATGGGGACCCCTACCCTATAATGGGCTATATAATGGGTATATAACAGCTATATTAAGGGTATATACCTAGGGGTCCATATTAAGGGTCTCTCCTTTTACCCTTGGAATGTGGTTCAAACATTGAAGGGAGTCTGAAGCTTGCGTTATGCACCGCCAGGATCATCGAACGGGTGTTGGCCAAGATCTATGATCCCAAGCAAGGACAGCTCTCTCAACCCCCAAACCAGCCTGGGATTTAGGAGTGCGGTTGCACGATCTCGGATTGCTGTTAAGATCTCTTAAGGTTAGGGGACTTGTGCAGATTGCTTGGAGGTTCACGGGTAGTTATAAATGGGGTTAGAAGTGTGGTAACTCTAACTATAACCCTTATCAGGGGACTTATAACCCCACTATTCCATGAACCTCCAAGTAAGAAACCCAATCAAGCTATGCAGCCAGCGCACCATCCTCATACCCAAGCCGGTTCCTCCTTAGGAGGCAGGTAACTGCATCTTAAAGTTTTTACAAGCCCGAAATCAACCAGAATTCCCTGCCACAGTGTCAGAAGAGCTTGGCAATTCGATTGTTTTCAGGTTTGGGGTTTAAAGTACGTATTCCGGAAGGTGATTTTAGCAACCTCTGATCCCTCTTAGGGAGCTTGATGCTTAGGCGATTGGGCACCAGGAGAGTCTAATTCTAGGTATCCCGGGTAGCACCCTTTCGCCCTTATGTTGAGACTTCCTTTTGAACTGACTATAACGGGGAAAAGGATGATGGAGGTGTTATTGGGGAACCGAGGAACCGGACTCTTGCGTGCATCATTCCCGCCCGTGGAACCACCATCTTGTGGCTGTGGAGCCATCTGACTAACATCTCGTGGCTAAGTTTCTCAAAAGCCCTAAAGACTCTAAACCATACATTGAACTCTGAACCCCGATCTTAGCCCCTCCTATGCAGGCTTGCAGCAATGTACCCTCTGAGTCGCTATACTACTATACCATTACACTCTTCCCCTTCAAGCTCTCTGCCAATCATTACCCAGAGGCCCCAAAGTAGTTCCTTTTTTGGGATTACCTTATTGGATTCTATATATGAACCCCCAAAAAGGAACTACTATGGAGCCTCTGGGTAGTTATAAGTAGGGTTATAAGTCCAGTAATAGGAGCTATAGTTATTATAGTCCCTAAGGCTCCATGTGTCCATATACTAGGTGCTTAGGCCTTTAAGGGGTCCCTATATAGGTACTTTAAGGCCTAAGTACCTACTATATGGGTACATGGAGCCTTAGGGAGTTATCCTACTTAGAACTCCACTTGTAAGCTCTGTGCCAGCCCCTAGGGCCCCCCAAGCATCCCTCAAGGCCTGCTCAGGGCTCCTTTAAGGGATCTATAAGGGTTCCTTTAAGGGATCTAGAAGGGATCTATGAAGGATCTTAGGGTTTAGGGGTGTAGGGCTTTACCTTAGGATCCGAAAACCTACCGTTTTAAGGGTTCGACCCTCCAATTAAGGGGTCACAACCTACTATTTTGTGGGGTTTGGGGATACAGGCAGGCCATACTTCGGAATTTCACCGGGTTTAGTGGGTTTAGGGTTTTTAGGGTTTAGGGGGTTTTAGGGTTTAGGGTTTTTAGGGTTTAGGGTTTTTAGGGTTGTAGGTTGCAAGCCTTCGGGGCTTCGAAATGTACGCAGCATCCCGTACACCATCTGTGTCAACTCGAAACCCGAAATCAGAAATTTTGGTGAGCAAAAATCCTGCTATAGTCTCCATTGTAGTTCTTTTCTTGGTTTAGCCAATAATTCATGTAGGATCCCATATTTAAGGTAACCGCCGAAGAGAAACTACAATGGAGACAATAGGCAATCCTGTGATTCAACTTTACGGCAAGCTGCCTCGAGGATATGGCTCCGCCTACGACATTCTCCAGGCCGTCGTTGATCTTCGTGGCCAGGTTACAGGTAGTTTACGCCTTTATCTTGGAGTTGGCATAACATCGTCATATGCAACAGTAATTCTAGAAACGCGCACATCATATCATTGGAACATTATTTTATGCTATACTATTTTATATGGCATTATATGGTATGATATGCTGTTACATTATACAGCGATGTAAATTACATACCAACATACCTACATACCTACCTACATAGCTACATACATACCTACCTACCTACATACATACCTGCCTACCTACATATCTACCCTACATACATACACGCATACATGGTCAACCTGTCGTCCGCGCTGGAGCTCCGCAACTACTCCATAGCTACCTATTGGCTTCAACTGGTACTATTTAGGGTTGACGGTTGAGGGCGTGGGGTTTGAGTTTTCTGGTTTAAGGGTGTTGGGCACTCTTGGCAAAGTGCTGGTGCTGTCTACATTCGTGCAAAGAAGTTCATCAACTGCGCTCTTGCAGGGTTCGGGGCCAACAACTCAGAAAACCCTAATCCAGAGGCCATAAACCTATAATTACTGTCACCTAGAGCATCCTTGTGAGACTCCTGAACCTGCAAGCTCTGAACCCAACCCCAAAACGTAAACATGGACAAAAATCTTTAAAACCCTACAAATCCCAGTAAACTTGTTTAGCAAGGAACAGCCCTGGGGATCGGCCTCTGAATCCCGAATGCTACCTCATCCGACGCCCTGAACAGCAGGAAACTGAAAGCAACAACACCTCTGTAAAGTGCATGCGAACTCTGATTAAGAAACCTAAACTAAACCCAGAACCTGGATGTTTAAGCCCTAAACCCTAAACCGTCTCCAGTAGGTTCTAGACCCGCTGTTGCAGTGGAGAAAGGGCAACTGCACCAAACAAAAAAGCCGTCTCCGAAGCCCCAAACCTTAGGGGTACTTAGAAATAGTTTTTAATTTTTGGTTATTAGAATCCCTAAGAAGCAGCTAAAATTATGATTTTTGCTAGGGCTCTAAGTTCAGTAAGGAAACGATCCGCCATGCTCTAGGTCTCCAAGGAAGCCAGCGAGAACGAGATTACCAAAGCCTACCGGCGGCTCGCTGTCGGGCTCCCGTTGCCCAAACCGGTTCTACGAAGGGTATGTGGTGTTGATATTAATCTAGGGAGAAGGGGCCTTAACTGTTGGGATAGGGTGTGGGGGGGCATTTTATAGCTGCCATTTTGGGGATGCACTCGTTTACGTGTGCCAGGTTTTGCAGGCGACTTGAAGCAAGCCCTGGTTCATCCTTCAATCATGACACATTCCCCCACCCGGGATCTCAATATGTGTGTATATATATATACATATGCGTGTGTGTATATATGTTCACGGGGCTGAATAAATTCTAAACCCGCGACCTCAAAAATCCCTCAACCCTAAACCCTAGACCCTAAATCCCTAGAAAACCCTAAGTAGGCTACAGGCAGTCTTTTCAACCATGAAATCTTGCCTGCAGGTGCCAGCGTTCGCGGCGGTTCATAAGGGTTTTAAAGGAGTTACTGTACCATAATGTCCTGAAGAATTGCCTGTGATCCCCACCCCTACCTATAGGTTTTCGTTTTTTGTATTGGGTTTTGCGGGTGTGGGGGTACGATGTAGACTGACTGTGGAAGCATTGCAAACATTGTCGCGCATGATGGCTCGAAGGAAGAGTTCTTACAGGGCTTGGCTTTCGGAGTTTAGGGCTTGCATGCTTGAAACCCCGTGAGCACACCTTGAAGTCCTAAACCCTTAACGGGCTCTTGGGGTTTGGGGTCTTTGTTCGCATCCCTGCCTCACAGGGCCAAGTGGCAGGCTGTTTGGGGTGCGCCACCAGTACTTCACTTGGAAACGGCCAAAAATGGTTTGAGACCAACTCTATCCCACCTCACCAAGCCCACCACTCCAATCGAACCTAGATCGTGCGGGGGGGGCGGGCGGGGAGGCCTGGGATTGTGGGGAGGATTTCAGTCTTAAGTTTGAGGCGTGTGGTTTTAGCACGCAGGTTTCCAGGCACTTTAAACCCAAGATCCTAAACCCTAAGCCCCTATAGCCCCGAAACCCTTAAACCCTAAGCCCCTAAACCCTTAAACCCCTAAGCCCTAAGCCCGAAACAGTACCCCGTGTAGGAAACCTTAATAGGCTCCACCCTAAACCCTAAACCCCTAAACCCCTAAACCCCTAAACCCTTAAACCCCTAAAGCCTAAACCCTAAACCCTAAACCCCTAAAGCCTAAACCCCTAAACCCTAAACCCCTAAACCCTAAACCCCTAAACCCTAAACCCCTAAACCCTAAACCCCTAAACCCCTAAACCTTAAACCCTCCATTAAAACCCCAACTCCGAGGGTGCCCAGCTTCGCGTCCCAGGTCCTTGTCCACCCGGACAAGTGCAAGCTGGACAAAGCCGAGGAAGCCTTCCAGGCGGCCTATGGGGTTCTATACTGGGGGTGAGACTAGTACTATAGGGATCCCTTAAAGGCACCTGAAGCAGTTTAGGGCTTGGGCTTGGGGTTTAGGGTATCGGGTTTAAGTTGGTTGGTTTCGGGTTTAGGGTTTCGGTTTTGGGGTTTAGGGTTTCGGGTTTGGGGTTTACGGGTTTAGGGTGGGGCTTATGTGATTGTTGATTTTTTTCGCTCGGTGCGGGATTGCCCTCAACCCTTACTTGTTTACCCCGACCCTCAACTTCACGGCTTTGGGGCTTAGCTTGTAGGGCTCTGAGGTTCAGACTGTAATTACCCAAAGGGTCCAAGTATCACCATGGTATATACTTAGATCCCCAAAATGCCCTATAAGTATATACCAGAATGATACTTGGACCCTTTGGGTTAGCCAGGTGATGTGACCTGAACGATCGGGACCTTGAGGATGCATGTTTTCTGAGGTCACAGGTTGGGTACGGCACCAGCCCTGTAGCAGTCTGTTTTAGCGATCATGTTCAGAGCTAATGTATACTTAGGGGTACTTAGAAATAGTTTTAATTTTTGGTTATTAAAATCCCTAAGAAACAGCTAAAATTTACAATTTTGCTAGGGTTTTAAGTTCAGTATAGTATATGTACATTGGAAGATTATCCAACTGTCATTACAGAGCGGGGGCAATATCCAAGTCACAGGCGTGCAGCTCCAACGGGTTTAGGTTCAGGATTTTCGGTTTGCAAGGTGACACCTTGGGGTATTCTGGCTTTGTCGAGACAGCAAGTTTAGCGGCCCTTGAATAATAGCAGCCCAATCTGGGATAGACCACCTGCTATGTGTTTAGGGTGTTAGGGGTTTAGGGTTTAGGGGCTTAGGATTTAGGGGCTGAGGGTTTGGGGGTTTAGGGTTTAGGGTTTTGTGAGGAAGTTTCGTGTTCTAGCCCTGAACTTTCGCAACCTCTGACTCCGAAGCCGCATCCGAAGCCCTCGATCCCTAACCCCCAACCTCAAGCCTCTACTCTAATCCCTCGTCGCCGTCCCTGATCCCAAAGGGTCCAAGTATCATTCAGGTATATACGTGTACGGCATTTTGGGGGTCTAAGTATATACCATGATGATACTTGGACCCTTTGGGAAAGCAAGGTTCGAATCTCGTCGACCCGATCAAAACCAGACCCTGAAACCTAAATCTAAAGCGGTCTACTGCGGGATGTTCCGGGACCAGGTGAAGGTCTTCAAGGAATATAGAATCCTGAATGATTCGCAAGAGTCATAGTATCGGATCAGGGTTTTGAGTTCATAATTCCACGCATGCATTACTAGCCTTCTGTCTTCAAGTTTTCCTCTCTTAAGATCTCATCAACACACTGTTATCGTGACTGTTTTCGTCATGGAGAAACCTGTACGCAAGCCGTACTGTTGCAGTTATTGCCACTATTACCGCTGTTGTAGTTGCTTTCTTTGCAATTACGACGATTGCGAGTAAGACTTAGGGACCCAAAAAGCACATAAGCATAAACATTTGATAGGGATATCCCTACTTTTTTGGGCTTCTTTATGAGGGGTGTTATATGGGATATCCCTATCCTAATTTTTGCTTATGTGCTTTTTTGGGGCCCTAAAGACGAGTTTGAGCAGCCTCTGGCAGGTGATCGTCAAGGCATACAACGACACCAAAGATCCGAATTATGTAGAGAGGCCAGACACTTCAGTTGGTGAACTTCGAGGATCGCGGGGACTTATTAGCTTAGGGGCGCTTAGAAATAATTTTTAATTTTTGGCTATTACAATAATCCCTAAGAAACAACGAAAATTGTAATTTTTGCTAGGGTTCTAAGTTCAGTATAGTTAGTCAGAAGTAACGTAGCCATACAACTACTGGAACCCTGCCACAATCCAGGTACTCGCAAACCCTGCTCCTAAGCCCATGCCCATTCAGGTTTGGGATAATCATGGTGTACGTGTTGGAATGGTTTAGTACCCCAGAACCCTAAACCCATCAAGAGCTTGCCGGTTTGGAGCATGGGTTGAGGATTCTAACTTCGGGCTAACGTTCCTGTAATTGCAGGGGGGATATGTTGATGTCGGTTGCATCGACTAAAGGCCGGCAGCAATTCCGGCACCGACGCCCCAAGCCGGTCTACCGTGCTTCCGACTCTTCAGATGCGGATGACCGGGATAACTTGATCGGCTCGCCATACGACAGGCGCGGGGACCAGCGCTACGAAGACGGCGGGAGCTTCGACTCAAACGAGCCGCAGGAGTCCTCCTCGATGTCGTCCCCGGCGTCCCCGGCATCATGCCGCTCAGCCAGGAGCCCAGAGCCCACGACGCCGCCGTGCAGGCAGATCGAGCATCCGCTTTTTTGCTTCAATATTAGGGCTCACTCACTGATGTCGGTTGCAAGACAGGGCACTCGACGAAACAATGCTTCACACTAAACTCGGTAACATTATACAGATTGAAGCACCCCGAATGGGACGGCCAGCCTTCATGGGGGCTCTGAAGCACAGCAGCCGGAAGTAGTATTATGTATTACCATTATTATGCTTATTGTCTTTTGTTCATCGTTGTTAGTTGCAGGTTTCGTATTTTCAGTGTACTGCTGTTCATTACGGTCAATTAAGTCAGGTCCGCTGTTTCACACGGAGTACGGGAACTCATGAGTCAGGAGGTTACATGTAGCAGGTGCTTAAGGACCAACAGACCCTTAGAAGCAGGGGCCCTGTACTTTCAAAGTGCACCTAGACATCCGGGCGCCACATTCAGTGTACCCTTGACCTGAAGGACCAACTGACCCTTTTAAAGCATGGGCCCTAGCTATACCCTTGTAACTCTGTACAATGAGCCCGTGTAATTACATGAACCTTAAACCCTTTTAGGGTTCATTTCGTCAATAGGGAAACCAGCCCGAAACCCTAAACTCCAATCCCTGAAACCTAAACCCCGAACCCTAAACCCCAAACCGCTAAACCCTAAACCCCTAAACCCCCAAGCCTCAAGCCCCTAAGCCCTAAACCCCTAAACCCTCAACCCCTAAATCCCAAGCCCCTAAAACCGAAACCCCAAACCTGACATTAAATTAATATAGCGATTATATACCCATTCTATGGCCCATTATGGGGTAGGGGTCCCCACTAAGGGTGAAAATCAGCCTAAAACCCCTAAACCCCTAAACCCCAAACCCCCCTAAACCCCTAAACCCCTAAACCCCCCTAAACCCCCCTAAACCCCTAAACCCCACCTAAAATCAGGCCTGCTGCAGCCGCAGGATCCTCCGAGGCCTCGACACGCAAAAGCTTTGCCGGCCTTTGAACGCGGGAACAGAGCTGCGCTTTCAGGGTTCCTTTAAGGGATCTATAGGGAATTATCTAGAAGGATTCTACAAGTGTTTAAGGGTTCCTTTAAGGGATCTATAGGGAATCCCATAAAGTTGGAAACCGAATTAAGGCCAAATAGTGCTGGGGTTCCCTATACATTACTCTTGGGGATTGAGGCTATTGGGTTTTCAACTTTGTGGCTTCAAGCGGAAAAGGGAATCTAGAAGGATTCTACAAGTATTCTGTAAGGTTAAAAGACTGAGGGTTGAGGGTGATGGGCTTAGTGTTGAAGGTACAGGGTTCAGGGTGTCGGGTGTAGGTTTCAGGGTTTAGGGGCTTATACAGGGTGCAGCATGTCGTGTTCAAGGTCCATGCTTTAGGGTTCTTGGCTTATGGTTTGGGCTTTGGGCTTGGCAGCTGGGTAGTGACTGTGTGGGTGAGATTGTGGATGGGCCCGAAACTGCGGCTCAGAGCCTCGCCACAGGGCACCTATCAACCGCACTTAAACCCAACGCCCTGAACCTTAAGTTGGAATATTAAACCACGAACTCCTAAACCCCGGAGCCTTAAATCTTTAACCCACGGCGCCGATCGAAACTTCTTAGTTCTCCGAATAGAAGCCCTTTACCCACAACTTAGTAGCTGAGTAAGTGACCTTCAACCTTTTGGAGTTTATATGATCCTACCATAACCGTAAACCCTAAGCCCTAAACTTTAAACCCTCAATCTTTTCCGGGCAAGGGTACTCCCTAGACCCCCCAACTGCCCTCTATTGTACCCCAAATACCCACTATTGGGGACCATATGGGCTCTATTAATTGGCCCTTGGGGGGTCCTGGAACAACCCCCAACCCCTAACCCTAAAACTCTAGAACCCTAAACCCCCAATCCCCTAAACCCTAAATCCCCAAAACCCTAAACCCTAAACCGCTATCAGGGGGCCATTGGGGGGTCCTGGTCTAAGACTCCAAAGGGTCCAAAGTATCCATATAGTAGAATGTAGGGTTTCTGTATTATAGGAATCACCATTATGATTTGAGTACGTATCCCCCAGAACAGTACCTAGGACCCTTTAGGCTTAGACAAAAAACCCTTCAACACTCGACTCTGTCACCCCGACCTTCGTAACGAAGTCGCGCGAAGCGTCGCTGTCCTTCTTATGTGTAAGAGCGGGGCCTTATTCATACTGGTTGTGGCTATACAGCGAGTAAACCGGATATGACGATGATTACCTTCATTGTTATTTGTATTCTCATTGATGTTACTATTAAGTTTATCATCATCCACCCTGTTGATCATATTGTTGCTATCATGTTAACGACTCTTATAGATTATTCCGGCCCCTGCTTCAAGCAGGCGGCCAACGAGGTTGCCGAAGCGAACAAGAAGCGCTACGACGAACAGGCTGGCTCCCTGGTCTTTGCTATAGTTGGGTTAAGGGGTTCAGGGTTTACGGGTACTCAAAGCCAAGAAGGAATAGAATTTTAGATTCTTAGTAGTATCCCAGCCATGGACAAATTAGACTTTGCGCTTGGGGTTTCGAGCAGGGCTTCGTGGTTAGGGGTTTAGCATTATAGCGGCCTAACAAAAACATGTTGGGGTTTCCTTGTCATAAATTAGTCATATGCCACAAAACCCTAAGCATAAGAGTTTGTGCATTAGATTTAGCATGGCTAAACCCTGAAACCGGAAGCCCTTTAGGGTGTTGTTCAGTGGCGAGGCTTCATACTGTTGATCATATAAATCCTGAACTACCTTAAGGACCCTAGACTATGGGAGTAATGGTATATTCCTTAAGAAGGGTAATGCAGGATTTATATCATCAACCGTAGTTCGCGGCCAAGTTTGCCGGACATGTGCACTGAGATGGGGGCAACCCCACTTTGACAATCAGGCGGCTTAGTCAGTAGGGTTCTAAGTATCTTCATTGTGTTAATACTTGAATATAGCTATGGTCGCCCCACTCAACACCTCACTTGTAGCCCTTTGTCAGCATGAGAAAGGTGACTGAAGGGGCATCGACAGGGCAAATCGGGGCATTGGAGATCGGTACTACAACAGGTCTGTTCTTCTCAAAACATAGGAGGGTTGCTGTAGTTGAGCCCCCAAACCTAAACCCTGAGGGCGTTCAGCTGCCAGAGGCTGTTTACACTTTGGGCCTTTCAACTGGAACCGAACAGCAGCAAGGGGTACCCTTGTCGTTAGGCGGCTTGCCAGGGAACCAAGTCTAGTTGCTCTTGTAGTCTCAGGAGAGAGACAGTGGGTTACAAGTCGATAAAATGGGATTCAAGTACTTGACCCCGAGAATACTTGACTCATGAAGTCTCATGTTCCTTCAAGCCATATCCTGAGTTCTTCAATCTCCAACCTTTATCTTTGTACTGATTTTGCTACACGGTAGTAGCAATCTAAAGGTTTTACCTGTTCATTTCGGTGGGCTTAGGGTCCACATAACCCAAAGGGTCCAAGTCCCAAAGGGTCCAAGTCTCATTCTGCTATATACTTATAGGGCATTTTGGGGGTCTCAGTATATACCATGATGATACTTGGACTCTTTAGGTAATCTACTAGCCATTATGGAACGGGGTATCTGCCCGGGCAGATGCTGATCGGCTTGCAGCAAGTTTTTCGTTCGTCGTTACGTGATCCTTAATTAAGGGATATAGCTTAAATCATATAGGGCTTCATATTATGATTTAAGCTATATTCCTTAATTCAGGGGCATAGGCTAGGAGAGACCGAGCGTTGTGAAGGCTCGCGGCAAGAGCCGACTTTGACTTGCCGCTCAGGAGCAGGCGACAGCCACGCTGCAGAGTTCAGAACTTCCCAGAGAGCCCAATACCCCTTAATTAAGGAATATACCTTAAATCTTAATATGAAGCCCTATATAATTCAAGGTATATTCCTTAATTAAAGGGTATTGGGTTCTCTAGGGTTCCTCAGTTTGACCTTCTTTGTTGAGCAGGCGCTGGCTCTGCTCTCACAGGCGGCAAGGGCTTGGCCAAAAGGCTAGAACCCGCCGCCGGAGGCGAATCAACTGAGCTGACAATGCCGTGAACCCAGAGATCCCAATATCCCTTAATTAAGGAATATACCCTAAATCATACTAGGGATCCTATTATAACTTAAGGTATATTCCTTAATTAAGGGGTATTGGGCTCTCTGGGGATTCATTTCCTGGCTAGGCATTATTCGACCTAGACCTCGACGACGAGCCCAAAGTGCTAGCAGTCATGCCCAGGACTCAGGCGCAGAACTCCCAATACCCTTTAATTAAGGAATATACCTTAAATCATAATATTAAGGGTTTAGGGTTTAGGGTTTAGGGTTTAGGGTTTAGGGTTTAGGGAGGAATATACCTTAAATCATAATATTAAGGCCTCTGTAATGTAAGGTATATTCATTAATTAAGGGGTATTGGGGTTCTCTGGGGGCCAACCTCGCCGTCCCAAAAGACCATCCTTTTGCAGTTTGGGGGACCTGACTCGATACTGGTAGTATATAGCGACCCTCTAGGTGATTTGGCTTGGGCTTGGAGCACCATACTTCTACATTTCTTCGTGGAGATGCTCCTTAAAGGAAGCATGATGAAATAAGCTGTGTGCAATGTTTCCTCCCCGGTTACTTCAAAGCCCAGAGCACGTAATGTAAGGGCCTAAATAATTAGAGTAGGGTTTCGGGGGCTCCGTATTGCATTTTTAGTATAATGTACCCCTATACACCCCCTATTCTAATTATCAAGGCCCTTACCCAAAGGGTCCAAGTATCATCATGGTGTATATATTTAGACCCCCAATATGCCCTATAAGTATATACCAGAATGATACTTGGACCCTTTGGGCAAGGCCCTTACAGTATCCCCTAAGGGTCCATGTACCCAAACAGTATATACTTTGGCCCCAATGTACCTGTATTGGGACTACTTTAAGGCCAGTGTATATACTATTTAGGTACATGGACCCTTAGGAATCTATCTTAGAAGCTGCCCCGACCCTGTAATAGTGGTATAATAGGAATATAATAGGGCCCTAATATGATATTAATATAATCCTTATGGTCACTATTACAGGGTGGGGGCAGCTTCTGAGATCTATCACACAAGCTCAGCAGCCCGACGAGGCCAAAGAGCGGCGCGAGCGAAAGAAGCAGGAGCCCATGATCGCCGGCTGGAGAAGTGTGACATGCTTTAGGTTTAGGGGGTTGGGGTTTAGGGGCTTAGGGCTTAGGGGTTTGGGGTTTAGGGGTTTAGGGGCTTAGGGGTTTGGGGTTTAGGGGTTTAGGGGGGTTTGGGGTTTAGGGATTTAGGGTTTAGGGTTTAGAGTAGTTCCCTGGAACCTGACAAACCTACCTTTTTAGGGTTTAGGGATATGACTTCCTTGTGCAAGTCCTCAAAAAGGTAGGTTTTTTGGGGTGTTAAAGTAATATTCTGTGCCTTAGGGTTGAGGCTTAAGGGTTTCGGGAGGGGGGGTTACTCATGTTAGTTTTTATCCCAACAGCCCCTATCCGTTTTTACACCCCTATCCGTTTTTATACTGAGGCACCAATCGGCACGAGCCCCATATCACCGAAGGCAAGCTCTAGAAGAACCATTCCAGCAATAGCGCCATTCCGCTAAGCCCTATGAAAACCCGAACTCCATTGACACCGAAAGTTCGCAAACGACTCCAGGGTACATCGTTTCGGCATTCGGGGTGTGGGGTTCATACAGGTGTCGGAGAAGCGACATACAGTGTTCCCTTATAGTGCCTAGGCCCTAGAATAACTTAGAAAAAAGTACCCCAATATCCCAGTCTAAGCATTACGACCCAGTTATTAAGGTTTTGGGTAAGGGGCTGTTCATAGAGGGTTCGGGGATGTTCTTAGTTTGCGACTTCTGCTGCCGGTGTAGGGGTTTTAAGGTCGAGATCACCAGGCATCGGGCAATATTCGCACACCCTGAATCAACCTGAGGCGGCACAACAAACACGCAGACACACAAAGAAGCAAACACACAAACAATCAAAACAAACAAAGAAACAAATTGGCAATGAAAGGAAGAAAGAAATAACCAAACATTGGCGTGGAAGTGTAGGAAAATCCCAGTCAAGCGGCCGGTGCCCGGTCTTCCAAGTTTTTTTCCCCCGAATGTTTACCTTTTTCGCTACCTTTTGCTTCGCCTGGTTCTAGCTTTGCTTCACCATCATTTTACCGTTTATTGCCTTTTTGTCGACCTTTCTTCACCTTACCACTTCACCATTATTTCACCTTTTGTTTACCTGTGTTTTACTTTTTAATTCAAGCTGATATCTGCCTTTGTTTCCATGGATCGGACTTTCTAAGTTTAGGACCCTGCGCTAAGTCCGGCAGGAGCAAAAAGAGCTCCGAGAGTGGGAAAGAAACAAGGACGGGTTGTGGGGCTTCGACACTTAAGGGGTCAGGGCTATGGCTATGGGTTGACGGTTCAGGAGGGTTCTTGTTTTTGGGGTCGAAACCTGACAGCCTCTCAAGACGGAAGGATTCAGGGTTGTACTTCGTCATTTTGGGCTTTGGATCCCCTTCCTACGGTGTCGGAATCTACAAGGTTGGAAGCCGCAGACTGATAAAGAGTCTTAAGCCCTCCCCCATACCTCGCATCTATGAAACGATCGGAAAGCCTGCTTTAACGACCAACAAAAGACAACCCCAAACCCCCTAAACCCCACAACCCTAAACCCTAAATCCCTGAACCCCTAAACCCTAAACCCCCACTATAGATCCCTTATAGACCCCTTTAATGGAACCCTATAAATCCCTTCAAGGGCCCCTAAACCCCGAAACCCTGAACTCCGCGGTCATCTGGCTTGAACACCCAAAAGGTTTCTGTGAACCTGGAAGCCTCTATCGTAGGCTGGGCTCTACCTGTAGTCTCCATTCTAGTTCTTTTTTGAGGTTACTTTATGGGATCCTTAGCATATAATTGGTTAAACCAAAAAAGGAACTACAATGGAGACTATGGGTATGCTACGACAATTTAGGACATGTTGGTGATTTCGGGTGTGTGGTTTAAGGACGTTCGGTGCAGGATTTAGGGTGCGGTGTGACAGTGTATGGGGTTTAGAGGTGTCGGCGGCAAGGTGTGTCGTTCAGGGATTCAGGGATGAATTTCGTTTTCCATGCGTGCCGTCGTCCGAGGGCTTGGGCTTCAACTGTTCAGAGTTTAGGGTTCGTGCTGCATGGCTCGAAAACTTGAGGGAAAGTCTTTATTCCGAGGGGCTCCTTCGAAATGGGAGATTCCGAAAATAGGGGACCCTAATGTAGTACCCTAAATAGTGGGATCCTTATTATAAGGACCCCAAAAGAGGGTACCCCTAATTTTCGGAAACTCCCATATAAACTCTTATAGTATCCCTTATAGTAACCCTTCCAGTAGATACGTCCGGATACTTTTTTCTATTCGTGGGATTCGGTTTACTTTTTTTTCGGGTCGAAAAAAAAGTAAACGCGGAAGATCTTTTATTTAGTCTGTCTGAACACACTGAACGAGGGCCTCTTAACCTTCCCAAAACAACCACTCAACCATCCGAAAACAACCACTGAAAACACGTGTTTCGTGTACAAAGGTTCTATATAGGGTTTCGGGTTTAGGGTTCAGGGTTTCAACCACCGTAAAAAAGGTTTTAAGGGTTTAATTCGGGTTTATAGGGTTCAGGGCTACAACCATCCTAAAACAACCAGTGAAAACACCTCTCTCTTGTACAAGGTTTACAGGGTTTCGGGTTAGGGTTCAGGGTTTCGACCAACCGAAACCGAACACAAGTCCATAATCGTCGTCTAGTTATTCCGGGTTAGCGGGTTTCGGGTTCAGGGTTTGAACCATCCGAAAACAACCGCTGAACAAAAGTCCTCATAATGGTCATACAGTTGTTCCGGGTTGAGGGTTTCGGGTTTACGGTTCGATCAGGGTTTGGGGTTCAGGGTTTACGCTTCGGGGTGTATAGGGTTTTATAAGGCTTCGGCGTAGGTTTCGGGTTGAGGTTATCAGACGTTGATTTGAGAGCTTCAGGTTCATATAGAATTACAGGGACCTGGGAGTCTTATTGAGGTTTCGAGCGCCCTTGGCTTCAGCATCCCTGGTTGCTTGGGTGTTTCAAGTGTTACAGGGTTGTTTGGGTCCTATAATGTTGCAAGGTTTGGGATCCTCCCTACAGCGATTTGGCCAGAAGTTGGGATTGAGAATCTTGGGTTGTTTGGGTCTTTGGGGATTTCGGCTACATAATCGTCCTACGAAACTTCGAACGGCCTATTTGAGCTCGCTCAGGGTTCAGGGATTTAAGATTGGGGGCTCGGAATCTGGCAGGGATCGTGGACTGTTTCGAGGAGACCGCAAGACTTGAGCGATCTTTGACTACCAACAAAAGCCATATAAAAGTTATTATAATTGTTATCAACCCTATACACAGGGAGCTGAGGAGGTTCGGCCTGGTTTCGGGCTGCAGAGTCATTGACATCCCTTGGAACCCTATATAAGACCCTAAAAAGATATATATATATATATATAATATGAAAACCTTACAAGACCCTAAGAACCCTAAAACCCTAAGAACCCCAAAACCTTACGAACCTTACAGCCCTAAGAACCCCGAAAGGAACCTACCAGTGGTGGGTTCGAGGGCGTTTCAGGCTTCGGGTTTGCTCTGGGCCCTCGGCCCCTTCGAATTTTTTGGCGGCCAAGCGGAACTCCGGCGTCAAGTGCTCTGCTGCGTCCGCCAGATAGCGTTGCAGAACACGGAGAGCGGCATGCTGGGGTCCAACTCTTCTGCTCGCTCTGCCCTGTATGCCAACAAAAGTTTCATCTTGTTGCACTGAATAGCCAAGAAAGGATAGTGTCCAGGAGCATCTTGAAGCATTTTCTTGCAAGTGCAAAAACAAGTGGTGCAAAATATGCAATTTGGGTGTTACAGGGAACCTGTCCCTGTCCGCCGCCAACGTCATCGCCACAAGGTGCCCGTAAGATTTCAAGAAATTAAGTCCGCAGCGGGCCACCGTGTGTGCCGTGCTCTGATCCAGCCAGAGACCGCCCCGATACAACATACGCACGGCGAGGTTGATGTTCGAGGCAGCCACCCACGTCCAGCGCAGGATCGGATCAGCATTTGCAAGGCCTGCGTTCACACTGCAAAAGTGTTCAAGGAACTCCAAGAGCAGCGTGGTGTCGCTGGCCTTCTGCCATCCAGCGGTTGGCACTTTCTGCAAACTGTCGATGCCCATTGTCACAGCAGAGATGCATTTGCAATACAACTTATCGTTGCGACTGCGGAGCCATGCCTGTGCAGCATCATCTATGAAGCAGAAGCGCTCGCCAATGTTGGCACCTTCGGATATTTTGACCGACCCTACTATGTTTGAACCCGGCCGGCACAAAACCAGCCTAACCTAATTAAATACTTATTACCAGTACGACCAAAGAGGGAACCAACAAAATTATAACAGTTATATAAACCTTAGAAAGCCCTATGAGCACCCAAGACAAAGAAAAATGTTAATGAGCCAGCGAAGCCCCAGAGTTGAAAGGGCTACATGGGTTTAGGGTTCACAGCTTCAATTGAGCTAGGGGGTTAGGGTTCTAGGTCCTCTATAGGGTTGCAAACAAATGCAAGAAAAAATGTGTATAGGCATTGAAGATCCGAGCGGCCGGGCACCACACGGAGCCATTCAGCAACAGCACTGGCAACCAGATTCTTGCCTGCGCCCAGGTGCAAGCAGTGCCAGAAATCAGGTTGGAAGAAGGACGCCCTGTTTGCAACGTTGACATGAAGTCGGCGAATCAGCGACGGCGTCTGCTCCCACGGCTCCAGTGTGCCGCAAGTCGGTCTCCAAGTCGGCGAATCCACGAAGTCTTCCCAGGTAGGGCAGCCATGCGTGCCTGCAAGGCACAGGTGGCAAATCCCATTAAGTGTTTTCTGGCCAGATCGCTTGGACACGTGAGTGTAGCATCGATTGAGGTGTCCCACTTTGGCAAAGAATTGCCAATCTCCGACAGCCGCTATCACGACAAGGTGCCACCTCTCGCCGTTCACCTTGATGCCCTCCGTCTGCAGCTTCGCCAAGTCGATAGCCAAGGCGTCGAACATTTTGTCCAGGTGCTGGGCGTCCTCGCCGTAGTCTTTTTTCTGCATGACGAAGTGCAAAAAGCGAGTCTTCTGAACGGCGCCTTCAAGATTCACACCACCAGCTTGCTTTTTCGAGAGAGGAGCCTCGGCGAACCAGTTCTTGTAAGCCTTGCATCCATAGCCGATCATTGCATGTGTGTTGGCGACCATCATCGGTAGGTGTTTCTTGCTCCGAGCCTCGTCGCCGTGAAGTAGCAGTGGGATTGTTCGCTCTGGCACGCAGAGTCCGGAGTCGAAGCAATCATTGATTGTATTCCCAGGTTCCAGAACGGCAAACCTTGCCCAGAACCTTGGATGGGAGCGAAAAAAAAACCAACCTTACAAGCCCTACGTGCTGACTTATACCCATATATGCACATTAAAGGGTTGGTAGGGTTTACTAAGGGGGCTCAGAGAAATTACTCAATTAACTTTATATTTATTTATGGAATTGCAAATCTTTATCAGATTGGG